AAGAAAATTCAACATAAAACTCCCAAAAAATATTTGTTCGTGTTGTATTATATACCGTGCATGGATTTTAGGACATGTTTGGGACAAAACATGGCGGATTACCTTTGTTTTCTCCAGGAACTGTTCCCACAATACATGGCAATGCACGTAGCTGACGTAAAAGCTTTAGCAATAGATTGCAGCTTCGTATAAACGGAAATTTWACTATTTTGCTGAAACCTGAAGGACAACAAAATATGATTGTATACCTACTGCTTTGTTTGTATTTTCGTTTTTAGTTGATGATGGCGATGATGCTTTGGTCCTTGCGCGAACTCTTTCACGTCACCTTCTTAAAGCTCCACACTGCAATGGCAGCACGATGCCATCTTCTCTTCCCACACTATCATCTCCTCGACAAAGTCTGTCGCTATCTCAGCTTCTTCCCAGCGTCATATTTTTCTCTAAACCACTCACTATAACCAAAACAATTCATCAACTCCTCGATTCATCTTGTCTTTGTGGTGAAGATGACATGATCAAGTTGACCAGTACTATTTGCCAAGGTTTACGAGAACCCCAGATCTATCACCGTGAATTTYTTGTTAGCCCAGACAACCTTGAAGAGGAGGTCTACTTCAGTGACGTAGCTGTTRCTGTAGTGACGTGTCGGGTAAACCCCGCAGTGCACAATGGGTAAGTATCACGATTGTCTTATATAATTCCACAAAAGGTATTCTGGTAAGAAGACACAAGTCGTTATTATTGATAAGTTTCTAATACTCCATTTTTATAAAAGGACGATTAGGTTCATTTCAATGAGATTTTCGATGCATTTCTTACATTCACTGAGACCTCAAAATAGTTCTTTTTTCTTCTTTTTTTTTTTTTTTTTTTTTTTTGCTGTCGTAGGAACTTATTTTCCTACATTGCTTAGATTCCTTTAGTTTGTTTCCATGAAGTAGTCTAATAGATCTGTTTATTCATTAGTTGGATGAACAGTAAAAACCCTTTAGTTACCGTTCTGTGTTACTACGGTGGACCCATTCTAAGCAAGTCCAGTACAAAAGCTCGCTACAAGGCCGTGCAATACCCCGTAGAGGAACCAGACAACCAAGAGAAATTTCCTAGTAAAATACTACCAACAAATCGACTGCTGATAAGACACGAGAGGCACTCAATGGATGGGCCTATTGTCGACTTGCATGGTCTCTCCCCTGATGTTCTACTAGGTCTGGTCTACATTGAGTGTTTCATCAAAAAGTTATCAATTTTGACGATTTTGGAGCTCGCTACAAGGCCGTGCAATACCCCGTAGAGGAACCAGACAACCAAGAGAAATTTCCTAGTAAAATACTACCAACAAATCGACTGCTGATAAGACACGAGAGGCACTCAATGGATGGGCCTATTGTCGACTTGCATGGTCTCTCCCCTGATGTTCTACTAGGTCTGGTCTACATTGAGTGTTTCATAGATAAGTTAATCGATGTTCTAAAGACTAGCGAACAAGAAGGTACTACAGAGAAAAGTGCCTATCGTGCGGCAGTTTACACAGTCATCGAGACTGCCTCAAAGTTTATCCTTAAAACAGCTCTACCACCCGCTGTGAGGGAAATTGTCTTCCATCTCATTGCGCAGCTTTTAAGGTTGAACCATAAATTAGAGTCCGCATTGGATAGCACACCGTCGCAAGCCTACACGACACAGCTGACCTTGATACTCACACGCCTTGCGCCATTGAAGACAGAGCTGCAGAAATTACTCGATAAGGAAGTTTCCGTGACAAACGTCTCTGCTCTCGAATTTATTCTCAAAGGGAATTTTGAGAACGACAAGTTCACGTCTTACCTTCAGGCGTTGTTTGATGTTGTGCTGGCCATGGCGGAAGTGGCACCTTTGATGAGGAGTCGAAGTGGATCGAAACGACAAAGACAGGGATCGTTAACGGAGGCGCTGCTACAGGTAACACCTTGATGTTATAATTGAGAGAGTGTGTGAATGCCCACTTGAGCTATTTGAATAAAACAGATAAGAATATCCAATTGAAATTATAATAAGCATCATCATCATCATCATCATCTTCTTATCACTATCAGTCATCATTTAACAATCCGTTATCGTCAATATTCATCATCATCATGCTTTAGCTTTAGAGTGGTTTTTATCATCATCATTATCAGCATCGTCACCATCATATTTCATTTCCTGTTCATTTTCAGGGGGAGTTAGCCGAAGCCCAAGGTGAAGCAGTCGTTTCTCCTTTGTCGTTTACTTTTGCTTCGTTTGACTTCAAGAGTGACTCGGAAACTCCAACAGCCTCCCCAGTGACTTCCCCTAGTCAAATGGTTCCACATACACCACCAGGGAACACTAGGCCACGACGACGAGGTAGTCTTCGTAAGAGAAAGCGAGCTCATGTACAGGAAGTGGTCTCTCCTACTGAAAGTATGCCATGGTTTGACGCGGTGGTGTCAGTGACTTTGTTACTACGGAACCTGTTAGAACGCGATTCAAGAGGTGAAGATAGTGATTATTGAATATTATTTGTAGTGATTAATTCTATGATAATGATGAAGGTGTAAGTAATAATAATGATGATTATCATAGTGATAAACATGGTAGTCAAAGTCCATAAAACTTTCACTACAGGCATGGAAATGTGGTGAAGGCTTGTGCTTCGATATTTTCTGCCTCAGTCGTAACTTTGATGTAATTTCTATCACTGAAGTRATACCAGGAACCTAAATGACTATTGTTGCAACGAATACCGTTTTTTGGATAAGTATTAAGATATTTTTTTGATATATTTAGGTATAACTGTTGTACAAGAAAGTCTGTGTGCAGTGGTGAATGCCAAATCGTCCAGTGTGATTCAACGTCTTCTTGTCATCACTAACATCCCTCAAACTATGACTAAGCATCAAGTATTCGATGTATTTAAGAAAACTTGTAAACCAAGTGGGGGGATATTTGAAGAGCAGACTTACTTACCCGAAATCCTTACATCTGACACAACAGAGAAACAAGACGAGTCCAATAAAGGAAACTGGGAATCACTAACACAGCATCTACCGAGTGCCATGGCAAATAAGCCGCGAAGAATCCGCGGTCATGCAGTCATAGAGCTACGAAATAGCAACCAACTGGATTTAGCTCGTCAAGCAATTGCTTCTAACAAATCCCTGAGAGTATCGTCGAATGAACATGAAAACATTGTTGGTATAGCTAAAGTAAACGCAGATCTCTTGATGGCTGGAACTAACGAACTAGAAGCATTTGCTGTTTTCGATGAGTTTTTGGCTGATAAGCTGTACTGTAGCGAAGAGCTTAGGCCTAATGCTTTAGAAGTATTAGCGGAAGTYTTTGATAGCTGTAGTTTCGCCTTATCGCAACCAGAATTAGTGAAAGATCAAGCTCCACCAGACGTACTGTCGACACTTGAGGRTCCCTCACGGTCGAAACCACCTGAAACTACTAATTCCACTGATACKAATGACGAGGCTATTAAATCTACAAAAATGGGAACTATCCACGAAGCTATTGRCAATGAAAGYAAAGGAGAAGTTCAGGCATTGGCTCATACTGTAAACCAATCAAAATCATCRGAGACGGGCAAAAGCGAACARGAAACTTCGACGCAATTCCTGGAATACCAGGCCTACCCAGAAGTGATAGCGAAAGATCTAGAGAATTCCCGCCTCACCCCTCCCCCAGAGGGTCTTACTGAAGAACATATATGCACTCCAGTGACTAGCAATCTTCTTTTGATCTTCTTTCAAACATTTTGTCATGGMAAACAGACGATTCAAGATGTTGTTCGTCAAGTSATACATGAATATGGAATGGAGGTTGGGGATGACAAAGCCTCCTGTCTCACTGTAGATGGATTTATTGAATGGGTYAAGACTAAAGCAATGGACAATATCCGATCAGTATGGAAAGCTCTTTTTGCCTGYGGATACGATCTTCAATTTCAAAGGTTGGTTACATCGTATCATTATAACATAGCTCAATAAAATTCATGCCAAAAAATCCTAAAAATCGTATCATGATATTTTGTCGTACGTGATATTTAGACSTAGTGTCTCTACATACCTGTATTAATTTAGATCATTATTACTCTTACTCCTTATGAAATATCCTAATTGACTAACTCGCAGTTTTCCTGCGCCGTATTGAAAGGTAACCGTACCTGTCACTCTATTGATGTTGAAATAATAGATAACTGTCAATCATTGTCTGKRTGTGTGAAAGAAAGGATCTATCATTGTCCGTTCTCCGGTCATCTCACTTCAAGGCATGGTTAAATAAAACGTTTAAGGGGACTATTTAACAAACAACGTCGTTGAAATTAGCTGTAACCAAATGTTTAATGTTGTTACAGGTGTACGTATATATTYCCTAAGGATATTCTCGAGGATCACAYCAACTGGTCAATAGCTAAAGAYAAGATTTTAGTCAACTTYATCGACCACAAATGTCGTGCGTTATCAACATCACCTTCTCGACTGATGCCTGACGAGCTGCACGTGACCCACGCTGATCTCGCAAATCAACAGTATGCGGATTTACAAAGTTAGTATTATATTATTCTTTGTGTTGATACCTGGCGCTTTTTTGTTGATGCTGTTGCCTGGATTGTAAAGGCCTGTTTACACTAGCAATTTTGTTTCGACACATTGGTGTAAAATTTCCGGCGATTGAAAATTTCGAGCATGTGCAAATTTGCTGCAATAAATGGCGAGTGCGATCTGACGCCGTGAAATCGCTGTGAATTTGCAGGCTGTTTAAACATTTTATTTGAGTTGCGATAAAATCACCGCAAAACTGAATCGCACTTACATGGAAAATTTGCTAGCGCAAACTAGGCTTAAGAATTTATCAAGTGAGGTTCATTTTCAATTAAAGATAAGTTTAATATTTTTTCTCTTCATCAGATCTCAGTTTACTAAGTATACGGTCGCGTTTTGCGTTCTTAAAATCTGTCAACCAAACCRTTGAACACGTCCTCCTTCCAYTGGCGGACCTACGTGTGACSAACACACACTCRCTAAGTACAGGTGCACTCTTAAAGATRGCMAGCGGTTTGATGTTTTATGACACGAAAATGGCTTTCTTGAATCGAACGCTTGATCATTCGAGTCAAAGAAATTGCCCTAATTCATCACCTGAATTATCACTCGACCCTCTGGAATCCCTTGAAGGTATGAGATTTTATTTYTAAAAACTATAAGTATATGTCCATTATGGATCATAAATGAGGTTATATGCCATGTGGGTTAACATCTGACGATATTTGGGCATGCGCAATGATTAAATTACAGACACTAATGATTCAATCAATGCAATATGAAGATAACGTTGATAATATTTRCATTTCAGCGGATAAAGYATCTTCATCATCTCAGTTCAGTCAAGCAGCCCGTTACCTGTCATCTGTCTCGTCTGCTGGTTTACGCGTCAAAGTCGCATCTGGTGGTGACCCAACGTTCCCTCTGAGGGTACAACTACGTGGAGAGCAAGTCCTGGGATCAGGTTAGTGATGTATCACAGTAACGACAACAACAACAACA